GCTGAAGCGCCAACTCAAACTGCACGATATCGACTTTGCACATTGTCGTGAATCGTATAAAAGAAATTGATGCGTCCTTGATATCGATCACATTCAATGAATGCTCGCATCCGACTTCATTTCTCGTGCTGTTTTACGTGAATTCTACTTTTATCACCAACGCGCGACAATAAGAAAACATCAGCTGGGTTTTCTGATCGTTAAAGCTCGTATTGTCGGATATTGGATCAATTCGCGACTCGCGTACTTTGACCGATCAAAGTAGTGCGATAAAAGAAAAACGTAGACGTTGAAAAATTCACGGGCATAATGCGAAGATTAAAGTCATGGGACGCTGTCAAATCGAACGCAGAATGAACAGTTTTGAGCGGCTGTTTTTGCATTTCCCTTTCCTCGCCCCGTTTCAGCGGAACGATACCAACTTGTACAATACACGCTTGTCACACGTGTATATAGATATTTGTGTTCTCCTTTTGGGCATACAGAGACGAACGACCAAACGTCAGTTTTGGTCGATGGAAAATTGGTTGTCGCAACAAAGCGCAACCGTAAAAGTTCCCTCGCGGTCGAGCGAACGCGCAAGAGAAACAAGTCTCGGCACACGCGCGCGCATACAAAGACGGCCGGAGCGTGACAAGATGCGCTTATCGCTTGCCGCCCGAACAGCTTCGCGTTCGACGAAAATTTTTCGGTTGCCGGTCGGCAGCTGTCTCGGGCCTCTCGCTCTGACTTTACGACCGCGCCGAGGATTTCGTTCGGCAATTTCCGGTTATGATCGACCCCAATTGCGACTCAGTGGGGGCGCCGTTTTGGCTTCGCCGAGTGTCGTCCCTCCTCCTGCGCTGCCTCAAAGCTGATTGTTACGCGAGAAAAAGAAATGTTCCGCAACGCAAGTCTTTGATTAAATCTGTGCACGATTGGAATACAACTATCGATAACGAGCATTTCGATTTCGCGGAAATTGAGAAACAAATATCCTTTTGAAAGCAAGTCACTAATGGGTAAACTATTTCTTTGCGACCGTAGCTTGAATTATTGGGCGAGTGCGAACTAGACAAAAAGTGGCTTCCAAAAAAGAAAAGAAAAACGACGAAAAACAGAAATTACCTAATGCGCTGCCTCCTCTGACTGCAGTAGAAGTACTGCCGACATATCGCCGGATCGTGATTCATCGTGTCCTGCAGGGGGAACCCATCACTCGGCTTGTACTACTCCCGCACTTTCGATTCTCTTCATTTCGCATGAAATAAAATAATAATAAAACCCATAATCCACCCATAATCCGTGATAGCGCAGACTCGATATCCTTCATTTTTCCGAGGATTTTGCGTTGTGATCGATTAAGGCTTTCGACGTGTAAGAATGCGTCACTTTGTCTTGTGTTTTGCTTTAGTCGCGCAGCGATCATCCGTTATTGCCATCTCCCCCTCCCCCCGCCCCGCCACCGAGTCGTAATGCACCGTTGCGAGTGCGCTTGAACACACCAATCCTCGATTATTCAATCGGTCCAGCGCAAAGTATCGGCCGTCGTGATTGCGTAGGCGTCGGCGCGGATCTATTAATAAAGCGTCCTGGTATTTCGCGCGTGGAAATAAGTTGCGAAACGTCGGTGATTCGCGAACGTTCGCGCGTGTTCTTCCACGGCGACGCGCGCAGCAATTAATCGCCGATTACTCTTATCGGCGTTCTCAATTTTCGCCGTTCCGCGCGTTCACGTATGCGTCAATTTGTTTTCGCGGACAAGAATGTTGCTTACGGCACGATGCCTCGGAAAGAACGTCTTTCTCTTGTTTTTCATTTCCGTGGAGTCGCGCGCTCGTTGGCACCTCGGTTTCGCGACCACGCGAGGCATATTATCCGCCGGCGATGGCGCGCGCCTCTTGGCAAAGCCAACATTTTGCCGCCAACGACGTCCGAGCATCGATCTCCGCAGCCGCGGAATCGTCGCTTACGTCGCCACGCGAAAATCCCCGGCGGACAGCAATTAAATCTCAATTGCAGCGAGCTGGAGATAATTAAGACGCCCGCATTGCCGCCGGACGAGCGCGCGCCTGCACGCGAGCTTCTTTTCCATGGGACTCTTCATTTTTTTTAATTCACCGCGCAACTTGGCGGAAGCTTGCTCTTTTACCTCCGCAATGGAGAGGAAGTATCGAGTGTTTGGACGAGCAAGTGCGGTTTTTAGACCGGAAATATTCGATGAAGCGTGCTCGAATAGAATAGCGTTAGCGAAGAAAAAAGTAGGGGGGGGGGGGGGGGTAGATAAGAGAACAAGTTGCGTAGTGAAAAATTAGCTCGTGTGAAGCTATAATTTGCCAACAGTTCCCGACGGTATGACTAGGCGATCGAAAAGAAAAAAACTCGGTCGTACGTTTCGCTCATCGAAAATTCCGGACGTCAAACTTGAACCACTCCAGGGTCAGAGTATAGCCGCGGAGCAAAATATTGATATAGAAGAAGCGCTAAGGTGAAATTTAACGGTATATAACTCTGTTGCGGTCGCGCGCAATTTACGGTCGCGTACGCACGGGAGTCCGAAGCGAGTGGCGTATCGACGCTGGCCGGACGCGCACGCGCTTGCGCGTCGATCCAAGCTCCAAAATTTCGTCGCACGGGAAGGAGAGAGAGAGCCTAGGCGACTTGATTTTCGCGGGTTACGGGTAAGAAAAAAGTTGCGCTTGCCGTGGCAATGATTCGCCGGGGAGAGCTCGGAATAGAAGAGAAGTCGTCGCACCGCCGAGGGAAGGCGCGCGAGTTGTCCCGCGAGACGGGGACGACACGCGCGCACGCGCGCACCACAAGCGATCACAATCGGAACGTCCTGGTCGGCGAAGCTCGCAGCGCGACGGGGCGAGCGAGAAGGGAGTGTAGGCGCGCGCGCGCGCGCGCTCGACGCAGTTGACGGTAGGGCCGGCGCGCGACTGGCGCTTGGGCGAGAAGTCAAGCGCGCACGCGACTCGCCGCACGCGCGCTAGGAGGTATAGGAGGATCGCCCGCGGCGCTGTCGCCCGAGTCACGTGAGACCCCTTTTGCGTCGCGCGCGCGTGCTCGCCGAGAGACGATCGTCGCCGTGCGGGGGCCTCTCTGTCGCCGCAGTGGTCGCGCACCTGCGGCCGATCTTTCGCGATCGACAACGCCACGGACGCGGAGCCTGTTCCTCGCCTTTTCTCGCTGTCGCTGCGGCAGTCGCGTTCGCGCGCCTCGCTTTCTGAAATCGGCGCTGCGAAGTGCACGCCTTCGCATCCTCGAGGACGTTCCGTGGGTGGCGCCGCTTCGAAACGCACGCACGCTCGTTCGGCAAGCGAGGCGCGTCGTCCGCGGCGGTTAAACGCGAGGTGTCGCTGCGCGACTTATCAACGAGAGCCACGCCAAATAATGGCTCAGCCGAGGCACAGGCCGGAGCAAGCCAAGCCATCGGGAATCCTCGAGCGCGTCCGCGATAACGAGACGAAAGAGCGAACATACGGCGCCGATAATGCTGCAACGACCAACGGGGACAATCTTCCTGACTGTCGCGTCCGATTCGGGAGCTGTTTTCGGCTCGACTGCCGTTTCGCGATGTTTCCGAGCCGCGATCGATAAATCGCACGATCGTTTCTACGAAAGATACAAATGACCCGAGCAACAAAAGCAAGCGAAAATCTGTTGTCGCGCCACGGGGAACTGAAATCGAAACGGGCCACCCTCCCGCGCGAGCTGTTGCAGCGACGCGGTGTCAATGTTTGCCCGAGGTAAATTTATACGAGCACGCAGAGGAGTGAACTCGTTTGACGATCAGCCCGCTGAGGTTTGTTTTCGCTGCCGCCAAGTGCAGGCGAAATTTCGGACTTCGATCGGCTGGCTCGACGCCGCCGCCGCTGCCGGATCGACGTAAGCTCGCCCGTCCGGCGTAATAGCGGCGCGCGCACGCGCGCGTGCGCCGAACGGCCGCGCGCCAGCGCGGAGGCAAGTTGTGGAGCGCGGTGTGCGCCTCGCCCCCGTATCAACGATAAGCCGTCGAAGCGACGCCGCGGCGGAGCATCGCGAGATTCCGCGAGGAGCGCACGGCCGTGCGGCTGATCGCAGCGACGGGCGCTATCGCGATGGCCTTCCGTGGCGCGCGGGGCGGAGGGGACGATCGCGGCCGAGACGGACGATCGCGTGCGCGCGCGCCGATGCAACTCCGGCGCATCGCGGGTATCAGGAGTGCACGCGCCGAGGAGCGAGCGCGTGCACGGAGCGCAGTGGCTCGAGTGCGGCCGATGCACGTAGAGCGGTGCGCGCGGCGCCGCCCCCTCTCCGAGCGCGGCTTTTCGTCGCCTTCGCCGGGATGACGTTCGAATTCGGCGAACTCGTGGCGCGACAGCTGGTTAGTGGCGGATAGCGGCCGCGCGCGGTCGCGATCGTACGACTCGAGACGCGTCGGCGAAACCGACTTGCAAATGTACACGCGTCTCGTGCCATCTCTCGGTCTCTGGCGACAGTTCTCGGCAGTCCTCTTGGAACGCCTCTCCAAGATCAGCAGTGAGAGAAGATAAGGAAGGAAAAGAAAAGAGAAACAAAGAATTCAGTGCTTGCACGGGTCGCGTTGGCAGTGGAGCGCGAGGCCTCGATGCGCGCGGACGCACGGTTCTTAGCCGCGAGCTTTCGAGTCTCGCGCACAACGTCGAGGAAGGTGCAGGCTTTCTCACGCTTTCGATAAATCTAGCCGAACAACGAAAGACCGATTTGTGCGCGCTGGAGAACAACGAGTTAGGTAGTAATGCGTGCGTGGCAGTTCGACAGCGCAGGTGCCAATCTATAATCAGCTCGCCGAATAATTCGAGACTCATTTCTTGCAGTTGCGTAGATTAAGCACGTGAAAAATTATTGTAGGCGTTTGAATATCGTGAATCGGTGGGGATAGATTTTATGGACGGAAAAGCGGTATGCCTGTTGCATCGCTGCCAAAGTCAATTCAACCGCAATTAAAGAAACGTCCGGGGTGGGGGGGGGGGGGGGGGAGTAAAAAATGGATAGGCAGAATCTCGCCTGCGGAACTCGGGGCTCGTTAGCTCCGAGGAACGCGTTCCCGGCGGACGAGCGTGCGAGAGTGCGAGCGAGAGGCGATGCAAGCGCGTTTCCAGCATTTTCAGGCGCAAGGGGGCACTCCCTTCTCCTCCGATACTGTGCGGTCATTGTTACGATAGCGAAATCGACGCCCTCTTTCTCGTGCCAAGCGAGCGCCTACTCTGTACGTTCTTCTTCGTCAAAGCGTAACATTTTGTCTTCTGCGAAAACAAACGGTCGTCCGAATAAGCTAAACAATGAATAAACTGTGCCAACTTTTTACGCTCATCCTCACCCTTTACACGTCGACGCGTCACGTCGACGCGTCGGATACTCTTGCTGCAACGAGCGCAAGTACCGCCACGCTGTGGGTGTCGCTGTCGCAAGCGTCCGGTGAGCAGTCTGGAGTTTCTGGCCGAAATACGCGAGAGTGCGCGAAGAACAAAAGCAGAGAGGTCGTTCTGACGTTGTCGCTGCCGAGGATTTTCGCAGCCGGCCTGGGCGTCAAAGAAATGGCGAGCCCACGTGTCGATCGCTTCGACGAGTTTCAAGACCCGTCGCTGACGCTCCACGCACTGGAAATAACAACGGCACTTCGTTGGTTTCGCACTCTCGTCAAATATGGGTCGATCGCACGTGTTTGCGTTGGGGCTCCAGTCCGGCAGGTGGTTGCTCGATGACCATGTCGGTGCGAATACAGAGCGACGATCGTCGGCGACCACGCCATCGTTGGGTACCCCGGTGCCGAAATTCATAAAAGACACGATGGTCGCGAGCGTCGGTCGTATCATTGTACGTACGTCGACCTCGTCGCAGGTGGACGTCGATACGCCGTTTTCACGCGCGGCGATCCCCTCGGAACGTCTTTCTTCGAGGCCGTCGGAGCTTTGAGTGTCGAATGGAATGGACGAGTTGACGCTGCGACCGAACGCAAGAAGTACTCGCTGCAGTGGCGCACGAAATTTCATGGCGAATTTAATTTGCTGCTCCTGCAGGCGAAGCCAGAGCAATGGCGAAATTGAGCTTGCGGGGTGATGCTCTCAAGTGCCCACGGAAGAATCGCGAACTCGATGGAAAAACTTTCTTGGACCTTTCGCTGTTGCCGAGAGTTCGGGCGGGTCTGCGCGGAATTGCGCGCGGTCCGTGAAACTGAAGGCAAATACTTGAGAGTTGATTGAGACGAGCAGCGTCCGCGCTGTCCAGGAGGCTCGTCGACCGCCGCAATGTGCGAAATACCTATCTTCGAACGCGCAAATGTTGTATTGGTTCGTCGCTTCCGATAAATTACGTTGGCTTTGCGTCGCTCCCGCGTTGTACGTTCCAATAGACCCAACGGAAAATTCGAAAACACTCGGATCGTCGTCGTCGAGGAGAGAGCGACGAAGTGAATTCGATTATAAAAACTTTCGTTGATTCCCGTTGGAGGAGCCCAACCCGCGCGTCCCTCTCTCAATCAAATCCCAAAAACTTATCCGAACTCATTGCTCGCGCGACGCCGTCGGGCTGGCTAGTCGAATTCGTTCCGGAGGAAGGCCAGCAAGGCCTGATTTTTCCCGCGGCGCTCGCAATGTCAGATGCGCGATCGCGAGAACAACGATTCCGCTTTGCCTGACTGCTGATGTGTCTGCGCGTTTTTTTCGCTTTCTTTTTGCTCCAAGTAAACATTTAATACGCTACAATGAGTTTGTAACTATGACCCATCGATTCCAGCGCGAGGCAACGTTCGATCGTGCGCGCACTCTCATATATGTACGTGTCCCCACTGCGGCTATCGCGTACGATGATCGCGAGCAGCCTGTGCCATCTCTCGGTGGGTCTTGGCGTCCTCGCGGCGAGCAGACAAAACGCAGCGTCATTGTAGCGTTCGGCTCGGCCGACGATTCGCCGTGTGCAATCGGTCGCTCGAGTCAAACCGACGCAACAAGTCAGTCCTGAGCGCGCGATCGTCGAGCCATCACGGACGCGGTTCCTCGCGAATCTCGCGTCGCAAGTGGCCGAGAGAACCTCGACGGATATAGCGAAGACTCCCGCTCGTCGACGCTTCGCGCGAAAAGAAAAATGTCACGCGTATCGGCAGCGAGGCGCGCTCCTTCGAAGCTCGTCGAGGTCTGGCGCAACGAAGCGAACGGTAGGTCAAGCGAATCGCAAACGAGCCGCCCGCTCGCCCCGTCAAAGCCTCATTGCAAACCGCAGGAATCACGACTCTATCTCTGGCGCGAGCGCCGGTGAACGGCTTGAACCTAGAGCTGGCGCTGGAGGTGCGCGCGGCGCTCGAGAGCGCGGTGGCCGCCGACAGCAGGGGCATCGTTCTCACGTCCTCGCTGCCGACCGTCTTCTCGGCCGGCGTCGACATTCGCGAAATGCATCGACCGGTCGTCCAGCGATGCTATGAATTTTGGAGCTCTCTGCAGGACTTGTGGTTGACTCTCTACGGTTTGCCAATTCCAACTGCGGCTGCCATTAACGTAACTACTCTTTTTCCTTTTTTCCTTTTTTTTTCTTTTTCTTTTTGGTCGCGAAAATGTACGTTTTCAGGGATCTAGTCCAGGCGCGGGCTGCTTGCTGGCCTTGTCATGCGAGTACAGAGTGATGGTAGAGAGCGAGCACACTATAGGCTTCAACGGGCCAATGCTCGGGGTTGTTATTCCGAAATGGATTCAGGACACGTTGATTAGAACTGTTGGTTATCGTCAAGCGGAACTCGCCTTGCTCAGGTCGTATTATCGACTTTTACGTATTCCCGATGTTTCGCCTAGGCCGACGTGTGTGATTTCTGTTTTTTCCCCCTTCTCGCGCTTCAGAGGAAAACTTTTCCAACCGAGGGAAGCCTTAAATATCGGGCTGGTCGACGAACTAGCTGTAGACAAAAATCAAGCTGTGGCGAAATGCGAAGCTTACTTGGCTGACTTTGCGAATGTCCCGGGTGAGTTTTCGAGTGCAAAAAGAAAAGATGCCAGTCACCGAAGCGCGAAATGTTGATCTCCCCTTCCTCTTTCGTAGGGGCGGCTAGAGCTGCGACTAAAACGAGTTTGAGGCAAGAGGCGATGGATTGGCTAAGGAAATATCGCGAGCAAGACACGAGGACGTTCGTCGATGCGTTGATGCTGCCGAAAGTTCAAGAAGATCTGGATAATTATATTCAGTCGCTCAAGAATAGATCAAAATGACGAGTTGGAGCTTAATCTTCGAACGCATGCGAGGCAATAAAAATCGAAAGCAGTTTACGTCGCAAACTGAACGTAATAATTTGTGCCATTATGTCATCTAGAGAGAATGTCAAATAAATTAACGCTCATAGTTAGAATCTCAAATAATTTTTATCGGGGAAAAATTGAAGTAACTTTCACTTTTAGCGTGTAAAAGGAAAAACCCTCTCGCCCCGAGCGTTACGTAACCTCATTGACTCGCATCGAGGGATTAATTGCGGCATCGATCGCGCAATCGTTCTCGAAGGTGAGGCTTTATATCATCTCGAACGCGAATTTTCGATCTCTTGCATTACCGTGTCATTTGCGCGGATATTGCCGAAAGGAATTGCACAGTTGCGAAGTATAGATCGCTTTTTTCTTTTTTCGACGGGGGACGGGGGAGGGGGCGGGTCTGATGAAAAGATCGGCACCGCGTCGGATCGATCGATCGGCAGCGCACGCGAATTGCGAGGCGGGATGCCAACGCGACGATACGCACGAGAGAGAGAAAAAAAAAAACGCTCGCTCCGCTTCTTTTCTTATTCCGGGGAAAAGGGAGGAAGTGCACGCCGGCCCCGTCCTGCCGTACAACCTGTCGTCAGTTCCGTTGCTCCTTTCCTTCCTTTCTCCGTGCTGCATCTCACTGTCCTTTGCGTGCTCCGACGATGCACGAGAACAAGAAATACCTGATATTTTCCTCTCTGTCTTTTCGCGCCGGACGTGAAATATCGCCAAACTACGGATGTTGTCGTTGTGAAAATATATGAATTCAATAAATCTGCCGACGATCAAGAAGCGGGAATAGGGGATCGATTGAGGCGCGCAACGAATGTGGCCACGACGGAGAAGTTAAGAGTGCTCTCCTTTCGAAGCATCCGGAACAACTGGGGACTCATCCTTGAACTACGTGACGTGAATCCACATGACGAGCGTTCTGTTCTTCTTTTCTTTTCTTTACTCGAGTGACTTCTTGGAACGGACTACGAGTGCGAGAGAACGTACCCCTCAACCGCCCACCCAATTTCACGTACGAGAGCGCGACGACCTCTTCTACCGCGATTCCGGTTCTCTTTCCGAGGACTTGTTGCGTGCATACGAGCGTGGAGGGCGCAAGGAGATTGGACGCCGAGGGATACGGGATTTAACGTTACTTACGAATAGCTGGCTGCGCGAACGCAGACCGCGCGAGTGTGAAAGAAAAGAAAACAAGGAAAAGATTTATTTGCAAATCAATGAGAAGGAGCGCGATAAAGACAATGATTTCCCGCAATATTTCACAAAGTACGCCGTATAATAGTCGACATTCGCCTGGGAAACAACTTTCGATTTCAGTTGAGCGAACAATTTCATAACTATTTCATATCGCGCGAAAAAAAAGAGCCCCTTCTTACGGGTGCGTGCGAGACAAAAGCTGCGAGAAAGTAAGAGTTACATCTGCGCGCGCGACAGTCGACGGAGTCGTCCAGGCTGCGTCGCCGATGCCGCACGCACGGTGCGTCGACGGAAAAGTTGAAAACTTTCAACGCCAGCTTCGCCGATGTTTTCCTCCCTTTCGCGAATCGCAGGCGATTTTCCGGTTATGTCGAGCGACTGTCACGACGAATTAGAATCGTTGACGTCCTGTTAACGACGGTCGCGGTTAACGAATGTCGGTCGTACTGTTACGACGATAATTCAATAATTCCGTGGAACGTGCTCGTCTTCGCGCCGCAAGTGCAGAAGACGGAGAAACCTTTCGGGCGACTAATTAAATAACGAATGTTTCAACAGTGCGAGGAAACTGCAAGCCGGCATGCGAATCGGGGACGGCGGCGGAGATAATCTCTCACGGCTGAATGGCGCAATTGCCCCTTTACCCTGCGCGCCCTTTATTTAATCAAGCTCGGAGGAAATTGAAATACCGTATGAAGCGTTCGAGTGAAAATTCTAGCGTTTTGCCAGCCGAGGGGGCATTTTTTGATCGACCCGCAAATTCGACGCCGCGAAGCGATAGTAAACGACGTCGGACGCGAGCATCGAGTAAATCAAATTGAAAATGAGCGCGAAGTCGCGCGCGGAAATCGGATCACGGTTTCCTTTGTGTTCCTTCTCGCCTCGGCTCGTTACTTTGCTTATCGCGCGAATTTGCATGTCTTGCGACTGAAACCGCGCTTTGGGGGAAAATACTTTCGAATCGAAGGCTGAGACTAACTCGCCAGCTACGCCGGTCATTAGCAGACGGGCAAGCGCGAAATTCCTTCCCGATCGATTCGCGAATGGCTGTTCCAATCGAGATTGCACGACGTCGATCTGTCGGTAAACGACGCGCCATTGAGTTTCGACGACGGCACAAGTCGAAGTGACATTACGATACGTTCTGAAAATAAATGGCGGCGTCGCCGCGAAAACCGCAGACATCTTGGTGTGTCTATCCGCTCGTTTCGTTATTATTAGACAAGCAGTCCTTGGGAAAGTGCATTGTCGCTGCAGCACGTGGCGGCTATTATTTTCGCCGTCGTAGAATTAATGTTTGGCTGTTTAGCACAGCGGGGGAATGCCGCGTGGCGTGAGAAATCGCCAGTGCGGTATTGTTACTGCAGGTGGCTGTACTTGTGCAGCTATATATATTCCATCGGATCGACGTGTGCGGGATTATTATGCGCGGTGAATTTTATTTTTCATCCGAAATTACTTTGCGTCGGCGAATTGAATATCGTCGTTACGGTTGCGGATGATTCCACCAGTACAGTGTAATTGGTTTGGCGGTTGCGCGCCCGCGTATCCAAGGAGATACTTACCGACGAATCCATATATAATTCGAGTTCAAAAAACATTTCAACGCGATTCTTCTCCGTCAGCGCCGCAACGAGAAATCATATCTCATTGCGATCGGAAGATATAAAAAGATGGGGAACAGGAATCGGCATTCACCGCGAACATCGAATTTTGCACGAGACCTCTTGACAGTCGACCGATGCGAGCTTCCGACGAGGACAGACAAAAAAAAAATAGACAAAAACGCCGTGGGAGCCAGTTAATTGGTCGTCGCGACTGTACATCGCGTGAAAAACGACTGTGTCCGGGAATATATACAGCGACACTGCAGCAAACATAATGGGAACTCGCTGCGTGGCTTGCATTTTTTTTTTCTTCTTTTAACGAAATCGAAATTGCAACGCTCGCTAACAGATCTGCGCGCGCGATGAAGTTCTCGCTCGTGTCGCATTATGCATTCAGCAGGATGCTCCGGGAGTGACGCGCTGCAGCAGGTCTATAAGACGAGAAGAGATAGTTCTCAATCGGATAGACTTCCCCTCTCGTCGTGCCTCTTATCCGCATGAATTTTTCATCCCGTCGCGGAGGAGATGCGGTCGGCCGAGATTGAATTCATCGCAAGCGTCGCCCCTGTTTTCCGCAACGCACGCGCGCGCCGGTATAAAGAACGCGCGGCGCGAGGTCCGTCGACGACGGATAAAAATATCTATTTTCATTTCTTTTCGCGGCCGTCGCTTGTGTCCACGTACGCATCGGCGATTGTCCTGCCCTTATCCGTGCGATAGCATGCGCTTCGGCACATTTAGTGCGCACGAGAAACTTGTCGCGGACGATAGATCTGTGTATCATTGTCTTTCTTTTTAAAGCCCGCGATGTTTGAATTTTATTCGCGAAGAATAAATGACTGTTCGGTCGTTTTCACAGGGTACCGAAAGCTCCGAAAAAGCCTTTGACTTTTTTGAAGAGAAAAACTCTTTTCCGAGGCATTTGGAAAAAATCGATCTCCATAAACAGTGAATCCGCACGAATCGCGAGGACTCGTTATTTTTTGCACAAAACGAGCGTCGAATAATTTTCATTCGGAGAATCCTAAGACAACAAAAAATCTTCCTCAACCCTCGGCCAAAGTTTCGCGGATGACATCATCGATCCCCTGCAGACAGCTTTCCCTTCCGAACTCCGAGCGAAACTTCATCGAAAGAATCAATCAGCCCGGCAACGATGAAAAAGCGCGCGACCATTGCATCGCCATTAAGGGATATCCTCATCGGCGCCTCATAATCCTTCCTCGTCCGACGAAATCCATCAAACTCTCTTATTCCAGGGAGCGGCTAATCAAGCCGAAGCACGAGAAAAACGCTCTCGCTCGCCGGATGCCATTCTCGCTGGCAGCAGCGCCGTAGCGAAGATAAATGCGCGGCGGGCGCACATCCTCCGCGGCTCGCAACGAAAGCGCGATTCGAGCAGCGGCGCGAGCTCTCGCGGATATCGCAAATGCTCGCCGCGGGCTGTCGTTGCCCGCTGGTGTCAGCGACGACGCGTCCCCTCGTTCTCGAGCTTCGCCGGCGGCTTCGAGCGCGCGCCGGTAGGATAATGCCCGGGCATTATTCAAATCGAGAGCGCCGCGCGCTCCTAATTCGCGTCGGTAGGCCCAGCGCACCGCCGAACGCGCGCGCGGCCAATTTGCAAGGGAATCCTCCGCGCGGCACACGCGAGGTATGCCGAAAAACGGCGGGGGGGGGGTGCGCGTTGTTTAAAGATTCCCACGCCGATGAAGCTCTGCATTGTTCGCTTTGCCAGAGACGTGCGTAGTGTATGTACGCGATGCCCCGCCGGCAATTATCTCTTTAGCACTTGCTGATCGATTCAACGATGCTTTCGACGACAAGTCGGAATAATTGCAATTAAACGTGGCGAAATAAAACAAAGCGGCAAGTTAACGCCCGAGAGAGAGAGATGGAGAGAGATAGAAAGGCACGTTCGAACGCAGTAATTTACCATTCGCTCCTCGCTGTCGCCTTCTCTCTCTTTCTGACAATTGAATTAAACCGGCGACGCAAGCGCAAAGTGGGATGCTCTCTCGAGGGTGTGGTTTGGTTAATTGCGAAGGAGAGAGAAAAAGGGGCGAAGCCACGATCGGAACCTTTTTCTTTTCTCCTCGGCAGAGCGACGGCGAGCAAAACAATCGAGGCGCGAAAGAGGACTTTGATGAATTTCAAAGTTTCGATTTTCGGTCGAGCCGGGTCGAGGCGGGCTTTGGAGCGCACGACGCCGAGAAAATATGTCGATATGTCGCGCGCAAGGTGTACGAATGCAATGCCGCCTGCCGAGCGCGCCACAGCCGAGTAGCAGCTGG